AGTGGTATTATACTGTTTATCCTGCTGTAACTAGCTTTTTTTCACTCAATATTATTGAGATTTATCCATGATGAATCATCTTTTTTCATTTATTTTAAATGTTGCTTAATGAATACACTGTAATTTATTAATCATTGCGGGTTATACTACATATATTACATATATAATACATATATATGTATGTATAGGTAAAATTGCATTTATTTTTTACTCCACTTCTTGGGTTGAAATGGAATGATGACATACATGGTGCAGCATTTCAACTCTTTTAGTGGTAACTGGAAAAACTCTATTCCTTCAAGGCAGGTAAAAACTATTTTCAGTATTTTATACAGTTCTATCCAACTTTTTCCCTGCTACCTGGTTCTTTATTTTTTCCCCTTTCTCTTACTTTCTATAACTAGGCCTTGGGTATAGTTGGCTCTTTGGGGCATACAGTTCACCCTTGAACAACATGGGGGTTAGGGGCGCTGACCCCTTGCACAGTTGAAAATCTGCATATAATGTTGAATCCCTCACAACCTGACTACTAATAGCCTGCTGTTGACTGGGAGCCTTGCCGATAACATAAACAGTCAATTAATTCATGTTTTGTATAGGTATTATATACAGTATCCTTACAATAAAGTAAGCCAGAGAAAATGATACTGAGAAAATCATAAGAGAAAAAACATTTACAGTACTGTACTGTATTTACTGAAAAAAAAATCTGCGTAAAGTGGACCCACTTTACGTTTAGTTTAGTTCAAACCTGTATTATTCAAGGGTCAACTGTAGCTGATGGATATGTCTGCATTACAGGATTAAAGCATAGAAGAAATTCCATTATAAGATAGTGAATCATGAAGTAATGTATGAATATAGTTCATGCTGAAGGTTGTTGCTCATCATTTAATGACACCACACCTTAATGGAATCAGGTGATTATTGGTATCATTTGTTAAATAAAGCTACCTCATAAGTTTGCTAATTTACAACCAAGAGAATTTCTAGCATTCTTCATTATTCTAAGAAAGGTAGTTAAGAAGACACTTTCTAGCATTCAGTATTCTTTGAAGATAGATTAACAAGGTAGAAATACATAAACCATCTTTTTTCAGAAAATTGCAGTGACTCAGAAATCTGTCAGTGCACTAAGCTTCCTGGACTGACATGAAGATGGTTTCATAAGTGTCTAGGGATGTCAATAACCTAGATCAAAAGAATGGGATTCCTTGAATTATGAAAAGATGAGTCCTTTTGTATCATGATGATATCATTGGTGTGGAGCTTGAATGAAAATGAGGGTCTAACTCATTTGGGAAAAGTGATCTTGAAAGAGGTGAACTATTATAAAGTTGAAGAAATTTTATCATACAGTATTTATGGGTTAATTGTAGTTTTTTATTCATCATTCATTTTCCCACAAGATAATAGTCTTGACAATCTTTCTGCTTAATATTAACCACCCACAATGTGTTAGGTCTTGGTGAGAGCATTCAAAATACGATCCCTAACATAAGGAGCTCACATCCCAAGACTCACTTTAAAACCTTCCTCTTCCGTACCCCCCTGGATCTCTTTAACCTGTTCACACTGGATTTCAAAAATCTTCAAGTCTGTTCTACTTACATAATCACTATCATATTTCAGAAACATTCTGGTTGACATTGACTAGGTATACTTAACCCCCTTCATACTTCATCTTCCTTATACATATGGACCTATTTTATCTACTTTACTGTGTGTGTAAGTAATCACTACACCCAGCGTGGGGCTCAAACTCACCACTCTGAAGTCAAGAGTCAGCATGCTCTACCCACTGAACCAGCCAGGCTCCCCTATTGTTTTTTGTTTTAAAGATTTTATTTACTTATTTGACAGAGAGAGATAGCGAGAGCAGGAACGCAAGCAGGGGGAGTGGGAGAGGGAGAAGCCCGCTTCCCGCTGAGCAGGGAGCCCAATGTGGGGGCTCCATCCCAGGACCCTGGGATTATGACCTGAGCCGAAGGCAGATGCTTAACGACTGAGCCACCCAGGTGCCCCACCTCTACTGTGTTTTTCATCTTCTTTCTTCTTTTTTCCATAATAGGTATGTGAATCTCTTAAACTGGTCATTTAAGAAAACTTGATATGTTGATTGGTAAAAACTGCCAACATGTGAGTTTGAATCCTTACTCTGCCACTTATTTGAAAAATGACCCTGAGCAAGTCCCATAATCTTGCTTAACTCAGTTTCCTCATCTATAAAGTGATAAACCTAGGATATTTATCTCCTAAGGCTGTGAGGATTAAAAATGTGAAGTAGGTGGTCCACAGTAAAAGCCCCAAAATGTTCTCTTTCTCTTTTGGTAGATTAAGAAAAAATAAGAAATATGGTTATCGAGGTGTATTTTTAAAAAAGTAGGGAAGATGAAGTATGAAGGGGGTTAAGTATACCTAGTCAATGTCAACCAGAATGTTTCTGAAATATGATAGTGATTATGTAAGTAGAACAGACTTGAAGATTTTTGAAATCCAGTGTGAACAGGTTAAAGAGATCCAGGGGGGTACGGAAGAGGAAGGTCACAATCATAGCAACAAAGGTTATGTCAAAGAGACGTGGATTTAGGTGTAACTATAAAAAATCGCCACCTTTTTAGATGAAAATGGTTGAATATTGGCAGTTTCATATGGTCCACTTAACAGATACTCAGGAGGGAAGAAAAGCAGAAAGGGCAGTCCTTCAGGTGTGTGCAGTTAACCAGGGTTGTCGCTATTTTTAATACAGAATGGCTAGGCTCTTGCAGATGTGAATCAAGCATTATTTAGTAGCCTCTTCTCTTTGTAGAGAAAAAAGGGGTTGAAGAAGGTTGAAAAGTCATGCCATTGGGTGTAGAAGTCTTTTACGCCCTTTGACATTCATGTTTCCAAAGGATTTAAGAAAACTTTACAAAAACACATCGGAAATAAAAAAAATGTGAGAAAACTGAGGAGAAGGGAAAATACAGTTAACACCCAGATCTCCTACTGTGATGTCAACAGTGGCTAGCACAGAGCTTCCTTCATGAAATCATCTTTGGAAAGGAGAAAGTATAAATGATATCCGGCATGGTGCTTCCCTTCCTGAGAGGCAACTGCAGTTCTGGATTCTTATGTAATGTGCCAGTAGTTGCCACTGAGTCTGCCTTCGACTGAGAAAACAGCTATCTTTTAATTAACACAAGCTGTACTTCAAGATTTGACTACAGTACTGGAAATAACTAAGAAAAGGTGTTCTGTCCAGAGACTATCTTCATCTTTAGCCTTAAGATCTTGCATGACAATCACTCTTTTAAGTGGGGTCTGAGAGGGTCCTCTGAATCTGATTCGTAGTAGTAATACTTTTGGTATACGTATCTCTTAAAAGCATTGCATTAAAAGCAGAATAGTTAGCTCTGGTAGGTTATTTTCTTTTCAGAAAGATTAGATGAAGTGTTTTTGCATCTTGTCAGAATGGTCTATGGACCAAAGAAGTTTGAAAATGATTTCTTCATTCTAATTAAGTGGTATCAATGAGGAAATAAATTCCTGTGGCCAAATACTTTGCTTTCTATGGGGTGACTTTATAAAAGGGGCACGGAGATAGTATTTTAAGACCCATGAAACACATCGCCACTCCTGGAAAAACAGCTGAAAATGCCCGAAATCTCTCTTCTAGGGACAGAGCGATCCTCTATCCAACATATCCATGCCAGAAAAATGGTAATACTGTGCCTTCCCTTTTTCTCCCACTCGTTTTTACTTCTGTCCTCTTCAAGCCTCCCATTCCTCACCCCCCTCCATCAGCTTATTCTATGATGCTTTAATTTTCCTTTAAAATTTCAGTGTAAAATAGTACAGCATTTATACTACTTACCTTTTAAGGTTATTCTTCTATTTAAATATGAGACCGAAGTTCTTACTGTTAGGCAAGATCAACCCCATTCTTGGATCCAGAATTTCAAGCCTAGTTTTTTTGCATGTTTATGGATTTTAGGTCATTTCCCTGGGAAGTTCTGTCTTTTGTAAAATTAAATGCCAAGTAACCATGCGATGTTTTTGATCCTATGAGCATAGATCGAAAGAATTGAGATGCAAATTTATTTAGTGTCTCACAAATGGGCTAAGAATTCTTTTTAGTTAGCACACACAAAATCTAGTTCAGTTGCTTGGACTTATCAACCCCATCCCCCAGCACAACTTTATCACACAAAAGACAATAATCACAATAATTGAAACGCGAATTCTTCAGTCAGCTAATAAACAGGGTTATTGTGGACAATGTTTTCAATTCTTAAATTTAAACTTTCTTGGCAATTAGCTCTAAAGGTAATCAGCAAAAATGTCTCTTAGTTGGCAAAACACACACAGACACACACACACACACACACAGCCTGAGCATTCCTCCCGGATGACAGCAAGATATCAAGGATGAAAAGGGCAAAGGAGTGTTAAATATGTGAAACGAGATTTTAAATTAAAGAATAAGTAAAACGTTACAAGAAAAAAATAACTTAGCTGAGAATCACTATTTAAAAAATGTTGGCAATTGTTGATGGGCTTTTTCAGATGTTGACTTGTTACCAAGACGATCAAGAACCCGGGAATAATATATGTTTGAGCAGCAAAATGATTGAGTGGATTAAAAAAAAATTCTGCCCTTTGAATATACGTATTAAATGAAATATAAGTGCCCGCTTTGGTGCCACTGGCCAGAATGAAAGCTCTCCTCCAGTAAGCGAGGTGAACTGAGATTTTTGTTTTAAATGCCTGCCTCCAGGGTACGTACAAGTGGGAGACGGGTTGGAAACCTGGGGCTAAGGGGGATGGGAACGAGATGGCTCTGACTGTGAATCTAAGAGCTGAATGTGTGAGACAGAAAATCCTCCTCCAGCCTCGGAGGGGGTGTCTCCCCCAATACCAGCTCCCTCCCCCCCGGGCTCGTGGGGCGGGTCTGGTTTGCTTAGAAGCTGCAGCGGCCGTAGCAGCAGCCCCGGGGCTGAGCGGCGGCGGCCTCCTGGCAGCGCAGGGAAGCGGCGGCTCCGAGAGCGTGAGGCCCTGGGGAGATCCGGCGGAGGCTGCCGTCGGGATGGAGAAAGCGTCGAGTGGAACCGGAGCCGCCGGGGATGGATTTCCTCCCCAGCCCAGCTCCCTACAGCTTGGCTGGGCCTGCTCCAAGCACCTGCGAGGTGGAAGAGGCCTGCGTCTAGGGCCTGACAGCTGCAGCCGGCGAACGAGGCGGGCACAGCGGGGTAACAGTTGAGCCGTAGCCGCTCTCGGGAACCTACGCCGCCACGGCCGCTTATTGTCTCTCCCCTTCCACCCGGGGGCAAACAGGAAGCGCGCCGGCTGGCCGAGCGACGGACGGGTATTCGGGCCAATGAGCATTGGCGACGGAGAGCGTGGTGGCGAATGAGCGCGGAGAAGAGAGGCGGGACTTCCGGGCGGGCTGTCACCCTCTTCCCCCCTTTTGGGCTGGAGGCTCCACCTTTTGTGTTTCCCGCACAGTCAATCAAAATAGGAAAAAAAAAATCCCCGGACCGCTCCGGCCGTGTCCGCCGCCGCTTCCCGCATCCTCTCCCGCCGCCGCCGCCTTCGCTCCTCACCATGTGTAAGGCGGCGGGGAGCCCCGCCTGAGGTGCCCTAAACACACTATGACCGGTACGTAAAGCCGAGAGAGAGCAACCCTTGCTGCCGCCGCCGCTGCCGCCGCCGCCGACCACAGCCAGCCCGGGGCCGCCGCCGCCGGCTCCCGGCCCCCTGTGTGCGACCGAGTGTCTGTGAGAGGCAGAAAGCCGCACTCCCCTCCGCCTCCCTCCCCTCCCGGCCAGCCACCGTTCACCCCTTAAGCCCCAGCAACGCCGTGTCCCTGCCGGGCCCTGGGGCGGGCGGCCCGGTCCGCCGGGAGCGCATCCCCCCGTGTGCGGGCGCGGGCGGCGGGCGGGCGTGTGTGAGTGACTGACGGTGCGAGAGGAGCGAGCGCGAGTGAGAGCGAGCGGCGCGAAGGGAAAGGGGAGGAGAGGAGAGGGGGCAGGGGCAGCGCGGGGAGGAGGAGGAGGAGGGAAAGAGGAGGAGGAGGAGGGTTACAGGCAGCGGCGGGCGGGGGCAGCAGCAGGAGGGGAGGAGGGATCCGCCGCCGCCGCCGCCGGGGGGCGGGTGGGGGGGGGGAAGGGGACTCGGTCCGGGCTTTCGGAGTAATTTCGCCTCGGCCCGCGGGCCCCCTCCCTCTCCTCCACCCGCCTTCCTCCCCACCCCCCCCCCCCCGCGCTGTGCCTGCAGCTCCCGAAAAGCCCGTGAAACAAGAGGAAATGGCTGCCTTGGACGTGGACAGTGGCGGCGGCGGCAGCGGCGGCGGCCACGGCGAGTATCTGCAGCAGCAGCAGCAGCACGGAAACGGCGCGGTGGCGGCGGCGGCGGCCCAGGTGAGGAGCGGCTGAGCCCCGGCCCGGCTCCCCCCTAGCGCCGCTTTCTCCTCCCCTCGCCTCTCCCCTCCCTCCGCGGCTCTCTCCTCCCCTCCCCCCGCCCCGGGAGCTGCCCGCCCGAGGCGCCAACGCTCCGACCCCGCCCGCGCTCCCCCTCCCGCCGCCTTTTTGTGAGTGTGTGTGTGTGAGTGTGTGTGTGTGTGTGAGAGTGTGAGAGTGTGAGCGTGCGAGCGTGTGCACCCTCCCGGGGGTGGGTTCCGGGCGGAAGGTGGAGGCCCGGCGCGCCGCCCGCCGCCCGCCTTCCCGCGGACGGCGGAGTCGGTGTGCGTGCGAGCGGGAGGACGCGAGCCGGAGTCGAGGAGGAGGAGGAGGAGGAGGAGAAGAGCGCGCGGGCTGGCGCTCGCCCGGGCTCAGCCTGCGAGGACCGAGGCGCACTTCCTGTGCGAGCGGCGGCCCGGCCCTAACCGCCACCCCCTCCCCCTGTCTCCCTCTCTGAACCCGCCCATCGGGGGTAGGACACTCAGCCGTCACCGCTCGCCCTGCTGGCCGCTACCTGCAGCAAGATAGGGCCGCCATCGCCGGGTGACGACGAGGAGGAGGCGGCTGCCGCAGCCGGGGCCCCCGCCGCCGCCGCCGGAGCGGTAAGTCTCGCGCGCGCGGCCCGCCCCCGCCAAGGCCCTGCGCCCGCCATCCCGGGCCTGCGGCGCGCCCGCCAGCCCGAAAGGCCTCCCCGGCGCCCGCGCCTTCCGCGATACGGACGGATCGCGCAGCCGGGGCGCCCTTTCGGGCTCTTTCGCATGCCCGTGTGGATCGGAGGCCAGCCCAGGCTTTCTCTAAATTGTCACTGCGGCGCCTCGATCCAAATTGACTACAAAATGAAGTCAGAGAGGGCGGGGGTAGAGGACTCCAAAATGGATGTTTGAGCAATTCATATCAGTGCTGAAAACTCCTTCGCTGAACACTACAAAATTTTCAAGCACAGCCTATCGGCCATAGATAGTATCAACTACAGAGGCAGTGTCTTTAAGTCTTTAGTTTCTAGTATTTTTTGAACCTGGAGCTTTTTCTGCTGGAACTTACTAGAGCTTACTGATTTAAATCGCAAATTGCTAAAAAGAAACCAAAAAAGGAATGAAGGTTTATTCTTTGAATTACCCTTTTGTATGCAGCAGTGAACACTTTGTGAGTGCTTTTTTAATGGCCATTCTAAATTGTTGAATTTTAGTTTTTGCAGACTTAAATTTGCAGGAATTTTTCATAAGTGGAGTAAGTGAAACATTCAATTAGCGGCCGTTGAAATTGGCGAAGTTACTTAGATAATACTTTGGCTTTTGAAATTGAATATGAAATACCAATGTTAGAAACAAAAGTACATGTAAGGAATTGTATTTATATGCATGCTAACGTATACTATACTTACAGTTGTATTTGGCTGGCAAAGCTGTATTTTCATTTTATTACGATTATTGGTCTGATAAGGTGTGGGGTTCTGTTTGTAGTGTCTTTAGTTCGGGGGCGGGGGGAGGAGCTGGTCAGTGTGTTGTATGAGGGCTTAATAAAATTAGCTAGGCACAATTTTTAAGACTGTTAATTGTGATTTTTATCTGTTTGAATCGTCGCTGTTGTGTTAAACATGTAGATGGATTCACTTACTAAAATACTAAAAAGCTCTCCCAGTCGTTTTTGGTTTCTTTTGAGGTGGATTATAGGAATTGATTTGTGTAGTGGTATTTTGATTGGTCACTATAGACAAAAAAGTATGATATTTGGCATAATCTGCAAGAAATTCTTAGTATGTCTAGACACTAAAAGTGAAGTTAATGTTAAGCTGTATTGTTAAATACTGTATTTGTAATTTTAGTGCTTCAAATGACACTGTAGAGGGAGGGATGTGAATAGCTTTAATTTCTTAAAAATATTCTGGGTTTTGTGCTTTTGTAAGCTGATTAAAATGTAAAAGCATAAAATTATGTTTGTGAGAGGCATGGTTACTTCTAAACAAACTACGGATTGGTAAGCCTTTTTATGAATTATCTCTCTAGCCCCACAGTGCCAAAACAAATTGACTGTTTATCTTAAAATACCACTGCACAAGTAAAATTGCAAAGCAGATTGCTTCTTCTTGTCTTTTACAGTATTTTCAATTACAACGAAAAACTTCTTGTAGCTGCAACTTACCTAGTTTATGTAGCTCACTGATGGGGGAGGGGAGAAGTGAAGGAGGAAGTTATGGGTGAAAAATATGTATATGTACTTGTGTATGTGAATCTCAGCCCTGGCAATAGAACACTGTCTCTGGTCTTATCCTGCTGTGCTCATATAGTTGTAGGGAGGTTGTTTCCATGCCTCTTCAGCTCCTCCTCTCAGCTACCAAATCTCTACTGACATCACATTTCCCGCCAGATGAACATGAACTAGAATCAGTAGGAGCACTTTTCTTTGTATGTTTGGTACGCATGCATAAAATTTTTCACTGAGTAGAATTAGTAAGATTGGCTTGAATATGTTTGCCTTAACAAGTGGCAAAATTAGTTTTCTAGTTTAAAAGTGAATTTCAGACATGTACATCTCAGAAAATGGAAGAGAATTTAAGTGATTTTTATGGGCATTTGTTTCTATTTAAAAATGTGCTTAGATAATCTTACTGTAATCATTCAATTACTGGGAATCATCAGAGGTCGTAGAGAGCTTTTTTGTAGCTGTGATTTTTTTTAAATTTTATTTTGCAGTAATTTTATATTTATAGAAAAGTTGCAGAGATAGAACTGAGAGTTACCTTATGCCCTTCACCCAGCTTCCCCTAATGTTAGTATAACCATAGTGCATTTGTCAAAACTAGGAAACTAACAGTAATACAGTATTAACTAAAATACAGACTTTATTCTCATTTCACTTTTTCCCCCCACTAATGCCCATTTTCTGTCCAGGATCTAATCTAGGGTACCACATTGCATATAGTATTGTTGTGTTTAAAATCAAATAGAAATATACACATAAAATTCAACTTCGTGCTGGTTTAGTTTAGTATTTTAAGATTAAAAGGGCATTGAAAAGCCAGTCAGCTGCACTGGAGATTTGTTTTAAGAGTTTTGAATTTAGAATTTGTTATATTATGGTATGGGTTCTTTCTGGATCCTGGCCAAGAATGGTTATCCCCAGTGCAGTGCTGAATAGGTCTAATCATAAACCATTCTCACCTATAATGTCCCACAGCATGGACTCCCAAAGTTGGTTTGATGGCAGGTCTCTTTTTTGTACTTTATTATTAGAAGTTGTATAGTTAATTTTAGTAATAAACCAGGAAATATAAGATGTAGATCTTCATGCAATATAAGTTTGTCCAATCTGTATTGATGTGAGTTTCTGGGTTATTAATTTGCTTAGTCCATTTGTACTTTAGTTTAAATTGTAATCAATTAATTGGGTAATTGTTTTTATTTGAAATTGGTTTTGAGTTCTTCAGTGTTCCTTGAAGATTTTAAGAAACTTGAGTATTTGCCTAAGAGTGGTTCTTAGTTTGTTTCCACCTTAGCTTCATACTTGTTTTTGTTTCCAGTAACACTCTGCCCTTGCCTGTTTCTGGCTTTCAAAAAGCCATTTGTGGGAACTGAGAAGTTAATAATCCTTTCCGATTGCTATGCAATAAGTGGTATGAATTTTTCTTTTTTCCTTTCCACAGGTATTATCTGAGAAGATAGCCTCTTTTTTTTTTCCCCATTCAACTGCCCCTCCCCCCCTCCATGCCTGGTTGCACTGGAGAATGCCCTTGTAATGAATTGCTATAGCAACGTCCCAGGGCTACTCTTGGTTTTGGTCCTTTTTACCTTGTGATTTTGTGTTTATGTACAGAGGGAGACTTAAGAGTACCTTCAGTTACAACTTTTTACAATAATGCCAACTTCCATGTCAGATGGTGTCTTGTTAGTTGTCTAAAAAGAATATTAGAATTACTGAGAGAACACTGGTAGATTTTTCTTGAGGGTTATCTGAACCAAATACTAGTTCTTGCCTGGGTTACGTGTTTTTATGTCTCTCTTCTTTTGTTTCTATAGTGTTTCCAATAGCCTAACATCAAACATTTTTACAACTGTTCTTTGGTCTCAAATGATTTTCTAATTCATATTTTTTCGTGGTGTACTGCTGATAAAATTTCTCTTACAAATGAATGGGCTTCGTAAAGGTTCTGTAGTTTGGAAATTTGGGGGGCTTATTGTGGAATTATGGAAATAAATAGGTTTAAAATTGGTGTAGTTTTTCATAGAAGACTAATTATCTCAAGGTCAGTTTTATTGATCAGTTCAATCATTTTCTTTGCAATGATTTTAAAGTAAGTACTTTTAACTATTCAATAAATATTTACTGATCTTTATGCTAGGAATTGTACTAGACATTCAGATCATCCTCTGTCCTCATAATCTTACTAATCATAATGTTACCTTAGGATTGTATAGTGTTTTATAGTTTGTAAAGCCTAACACTTTCTTTTGGTTCTTATGACCCCACAAGGTAATAATTTTCCCATTTTTAACATAAAATTGAGTCCTGTTCTAAATCACACACAATTCCACAATTTTAGCTTAGGACTAGAAGTCAGTTCTGAGTTCTTTCCTTTCTAGTGTAATGTACTCCCCTCCCCCAAGCATAATGGTAGCTTAAAAATCATGAAGGTCTAATAGTTTTCTGACTCCGTGTTTTCTCTCCAATTCCATTAAAACATTTAATACTTAGTAAATTTTTTAAAGCATAAATTTATTTCATTTAAAAGATTCTTTTTGTTGCCTTTTTTCTTAAATTATTTGTTGCTGGTTTTCCTCCCTCTGGGTTTGTGCTTCATAAATATTTCTTGTATATCCATTTCACCTTAGGTTTATTCAGAAAAGTTCAAATACATCATGCTGTCTTAGGTTTGGGGATTTCCCTTCAATTAATGGCCTGCATTGTTGGGAAAAGTAGTACCACAGTTTATTTTTATTTAACTTCTGGAGAGGGGTCCTTGGGTAGTACTTACTCAGATTTGTCATTTGAGTAGCTGTATTTATTTTCACAGAATTTCTTGACTAAAAAACTGTTCACTGATGGTTGAAAATCTGTCCTTACTACAATTTTGTAAAAAGTAATACTTAAGATGCCACAAATTTGACATTTTTTTAAGGATGAAAAAGGACAAAATGCCAGTATTGTAAAATAATCTGTACCTGAGATACTGTATTCTTTGGTATAAGTTGAATAATTGTAAATTTAGTGCTGGTCAAAAAAAAAAAATTCAACAGTCAATTCTCCAGAGGTAAACAACAACCTTAGAAAAATAAAGATTGGATTTTAGACATTATATTTTAGTGTAGATTTCAGTATGAAGTATAGATGTAAATATCTTTATTTAAAATGCCAAGAGACTGAAATGAAACATGAATTATTGCTCTGATATTGGGAAAGATGACTTAGGCTTGTAATTCCTGTACCAGATAGAAGTTGAAGAATGACATGGAACTTTAATGACTGGTCTTTATTTTAGTAATTTAAGTTTGATAAATTTAAATGTTTGTATTTAAAAGATGATTATTTTAGTTCAAGACTATACATTTGTCCTGGATTCCACATTTTATCTGTCTTTAGTCTCTTCTGGCTTTCTTTCGGTCTCCTTCATTGGCTCTTAGTTATCTTTATAAAACACAGACCTGATTGCACCACTCACTTGCTTAAAAACCTTTTATAGCTTTCATTTACTATCTGTAGGATGAAGTCGAAACTCCTTAGCAGGATCTACAAAGCCATTAACTACAGGCCTTGATAAAAATGTCTAGTCTTGTTCCCCATTACTTTTCTCTATGAATATGAGCCTTTTCTGGATCCTCTCTTGAACTCCAAACTACACATTCTTTAGAGTTTCCTTTTGTCTGTGGCTGTTGTTTTATACCTTTATGAATGCCTCTGTCTCTCTTTTGTAGCTGCCTATGGTGAAGTCATAAATTTTATTCTAAGATTACTTAAAATATCTCTTGTGTGAGATCTTTTTTTTTTTCCCCCATCTTCTATGTTCCCAAAAAGCGTTTTGATCATATGGCTGGTGCACACCACTATTCACATAGTAGTAGCATGTATGTGTATGTCTGCTTGGATAAATTGGGAACCATTTGAAACAGAGATTGTTTATTTCATGAGCTTACTCATATGCTTATTTCAACTTGGCTGATGTGCTCAAATCTCTTGAATCATTAAACTGTGGTTCATCCATTGAAGTAATGCTTTTCAACTACGCACCTGTGTGAAAATTAGGTAGTTTTTTAAGAAACTCTTAAAATCTTCTGGTTCTATAATGGTTGTATTAAATTTTGTGGAATGGTTCATACTGAGAGAACAGTGTATGTGTTAACCTTTTTGTGTGGTCATATACCTCCTTTGAGAATATGATGAAACCCTAGATTATCCCTTTGTCTCCCAATTGCACTTTCTCAAAAAGTTGCTATGTTCATTTAGAGGATTCATAGATCCCTTGAAGCCCAGGTGTGGGTCCTGCGTTGAGAATGCTGGGCTAGATACACTTACGTTTTCATTGTCTGGTGATACACAGAGTCACAGGAAATTGCATATAGATCTAGAAGGAAGTGGCATAGGAATGGCTTTATTTTGAGGGTGAGTAATTCATATAAGATCTCATTCCCCATTATCTTTACCCTTGGTCTTAGTGGGAGACAAGCTTAGTATAGAATTAAAGGCCTGGCTTCTGCAGTTAGACTTGGCCTAGTTTTAAAAATCCTGTCTTGGCCATTTGAGACCTGTGTGATTTTTGTTTCTCAATTATTGCATTTGTGAAATGAGGATAGTGATAATACCTACCTTACAGGATTGTTGTAAGGAGTAGATGATATAATCTTATAAATCATTATCATAGTACTTGGCATTAAGAGAATGGCTCCAGTGTGAGACATTACTTTATTCTCTCAAAAAATGTTATTCTTTGACATTGATGTATAAGATTTTATTGCTTTCTGCTTTCCTTTGTTGGTATTTTTCCAGTGTTGCCTAATCCATAAAATACGAGGATGATAACTGAGAATTCTATCACATCACAGAATGCACAATGGATATGTCTTACTGCAAACATAGAGTAGTAGGTAAAACCATCGTCTATATCCTCCAGCTTTTAGAGTCTAGGAAAACCTTTCAGATGGAGTGACTTTGCCATGTGGTCACAGGGCAATAATCTTAACTCATTAAAAATTTTTAAGGTCTCTTTTTTTTTTCTTGGTAGTTCGTGAGAAAAGTAAAGAATTTGATGGCTTGCTAATGGAATAGCCTTAGCCAGGAAGTTTACTCTGGAGGACATTAATGTATGCCATAAAAGAGTAGCCTTAATAGTTTGACTTAAGGTTTACAGCAATAATATACAAATCTTAACTTCTCTAACTCAGATGACTTGATAACACTGTACTGGTTATGTTTGTTTTTTGTATACAAATATAATGTACCTAATTAGTGATATATATTTTTAGTAGGTTATATGTATTTTTTTTAACTCTTCAGTGTTTGAGATCTTTGGTTTGAGCTGTCCATCATCTTTCCTAGCCACTTACACTTCTATTGATTTAACTGTATGGATTAGAGATCATAGGTGAGGAATTAGAAGACCAGTTCGTAAAACAAAGATTACTCTGAAATTTTTTTCCTGTTCAGATAGCATGGGTTATCTTTGCAGTAACTAACAAAATTGGAAATAATAATTATTGTGGTTTATATAGTACTGCTTCAGTATTTGAAGTCTGCTGTGTTATTAAGAGAACTTTTAATTTCAGGTAGTAGAATTTGTCAGTTCTTAGATTTTTTTGAGGACTGGTTTAAATATGCCACAAATATATATCACATAACATTTTTTGTTTTCTTTATCCAGACAGGTGATTTGGCTTCTGCACAGTTAGGAGGAGCACCAAACCGATGGGAGGTTTTGTCAGCCACACCTACAACTATAAAAGATGAAGCTGGTAATCTAGTACAGATTCCAAGTGCGGCTACTTCGAGTGGGCAGTATGTCCTTCCCCTTCAGAATTTGCAGAATCAACAAATATTTTCAGTTGCACCAGGATCAGATTCGTCAAATGGTACAGTGTCCAATGTTCAGTATCAAGTAATACCACAGATTCAGTCAACAGATGGTCAGCAGGTTCAGATTGGTTTCACAGGCTCTTCAGATAATGGGGGTATAAATCAAGAAAGTGGCCAAATTCAGATCATTCCTGGCTCTAATCAAACCTTGCTTGCCTCTGGAACACCTCCTGCTAATATCCAGAATCTCATACCACAGACTGGTCAAGTCCAGGTTCAGGGAGTTGCAATTGGTGGTTCATCTTTTCCTGGCCAAACCCAAGTAGTTGCTAATGTGCCTCTTGGTCTGCCAGGAAATATTACCTTTGTACCAATCAATAGTGTCGATCTAGATTCTTTGGGACTCTCGGGCAGTTCTCAGACAATGACTGCAGGCATTAATGCCGATGGACATTTGATAAACACAGGACAAGCTATGGATAGTTCAGACAATTCAGAAAGGACTGGTGAGCGGGTTTCTCCTGATATTAATGAAACTAATACTGATACAGATTTATTTGTGCCAACATCATCTTCATCACAGTTGCCTGTTACTATAGATAGTACAGGTATATTACAACAAAACACAAATAGCTTGACTGCTTCTAGTGGGCAAGTCCATTCTTCAGATCTTCAGGGAAATTATATCCAGTCGCCTGTTTCTGAAGAGACACAGGCTCAGAATATTCAGGTTTCTACAGCACAGCCTGTTGTACAACATCTACAACTTCCAGAGTCTCAGCAGCCAACCAGTCAAGCCCAAATTGTGCAAGGCATTACACCACAGACAATCCATGGTGTGCAAGCCAGTGGTCAGAATATATCACAACAGGCTTTGCAAAATCTTCAGTTGCAGCTGAATCCTGGAACCTTTTTAATTCAGGCACAGACAGTGACCCCTTCTGGACAGATAACTTGGCAAACATTTCAAGTACAAGGGGTCCAGAACTTGCAGAATTTGCAAATACAGAATACTGCTGCCCAACAAATAACTTTGACGCCTGTTCAGACACTCACGCTTGGTCAAGTTGCAGCAGGTGGGGCCTTGACTTCAACTCCAGTTAGTCTAAGCACTGGTCAGTTGCCAAATCTACAGACAGTTACAGTGAACTCTATAGATTCTACTGGTATACAGCTACACCCAGGAGAGAATGCTGACAGTCCTGCAGGTGAGTCTTAAGTCTTGTCATGCCATAGATAAGTGATTTGTTGACATGCAGGGATATTTTTTGCTTTAAGATGTTTTCTATATCTGTCTATTTTTAAAGGTGATACATTTCCCTTTGTTTGTATGAAAAGTAGACATCAAGGTGTCTTCCAGATTGTTCTTGAAAGTTTTGAAGTCAAGGATTCATTTCTTCATTATGCCATAAATTACGTTTGTAGTTTTTCTTTAATTTTATATCTGTTTTCACATCTGATTGGTATTGTCAAGCATTACAAAATTTTTTTTGGCAGGTAAGGTGTCTTGGTTGTGCTTCTTGTGATGTAAATTAAATATTTTTGCATTATATTTGTCTGGGGAATCAGGTTGTCATGGTGAAAACGTGGCACTGGGAGCCAAGACCATTTATGTTGTCTCACCCACTAGCTGTGTGATTGTGGCTAGATTGTTTTCTCTTGCAAACTCGGTTGTCTCATTATATAAAATGGGGTTATTGGACTAGGTAACTAAATCCTAGGGTACCTTCCAGACTGAAAATTCTTTGAATCTGTGATAGTTTATTCTTTCAAGTGTGTAGTGAGCATTAAATTTAACTGTGCTAGATATATTGTTATTGATAGTATGGGTAGAAATTTCAGAAGTCTACTCTTCCAGTGTTGGCAGAAATTAAAAATACGGTTTAAAAGAGATGGTATCATCATTACCTTAATGTTCATTTAGATGACATGTTATTGAATGTTTTGTTGTGCACTAAATCCTTAGTTTTACACTTCTCCTTTGTATTTGGGTTCTTGTGGTGACTACTACTATTATAACCTTCCACTTGAGTCAGATTCCAAACTCTTACATTAGGACACTTGAATTTGATTTATTGAAATAATTCCTATCACAATAGAGATTACCTTTTTTCTTTGGAGAAATTTGTCGTCTATACTTAGAAAATTGGAATTGTTCTAAAGCCTCAGATCTGTACTTGGCAAGCCTTTAATTGTATTTGAGCCTTCTGAAGCAATAGTTGAGAGCACCCATTATCAAAGCATGGTCTGTGGACCCCTGGGGGATCCCTGAGACCCTCTCAGAGGTCCTTGATGTCAGATTACTTTTCTTAATACTATAGTTACTTGCCTTTTTTGTTGTGTTTACATTTTTTTTTTTTTTTTAAGATTTCATTTATTTGACAGAGAGAGACACAGTGAGAGAGGGAACACAGCAGGGGGAGTGGGAGAGGGAGAAGCAGGCTTCCCACTGAGCAGGGAGCCCGATGTGGGGCTCGATCCCAGGACTCTGGGATCATGAGCTGAGCTGAAGGCAGACGCTTAACGACTGAGCCACCCAGGCGCCCCTCACTGTGTTTACATTTTCACAAAATGGCTTGTGTCTTAGCAAAAATGAAATTAGTGGCACCAAACTATACTACTAGTTGTTGTATTCTTCATGATCATGTACTTGCAGTTAAAGAAAAATGCACTTTTCACTCAAGAATGATCTTGATGAACCAGTCAAAATAGTTATTTTTACTAAATCTCGACCCTTGAGTGCTGTATTTCCTTTTTTAAAAGATAGCTTTACTGAAATATAATTCACATACCATAAAATTCACTCTTTGAAGTATATAATTCAGTGGTTTTTATGTAGTCACAGACTTGTACAACCATCACCACTATCTAATTTTAGAGTGTTTTCACCAAAAAACCCATGCCCATCAGCAGTTAACTCCTCATTTCCTCCCTCCCCTTAGCCCCTGGCAACCACTAATCTACTTCCTGTCTCTCTGGATTTGCCTATTCTGAATTTGCCTATTATTTCGTATCAGTGGAATAATACATTTTGTGGATTTTTGTATCTGACTTCTTTCATTTAGTATATTTTCAAGGTTCATCTGTATTGTAGCCTGTGTCAGTATTTCATTCCTTTTTTGTGGCTGAATAATATTCCACAGTAAGGTAAATGAATAGACTGCAGTATATATCCAGTTGAGGGACAGTGTTTCTACTTTCTGGCTATTATGAATAATGCTGCTATGAACATTTGTGGACAGTTTTTGTGTGGACATGTTTTTGTTTGAGTATATACAAAAGAGTGGAATTGCTTGGTTGTATGCTAACTGTTCATGTTTTGAGGGACTGCCAAACTTTTTCTAAAGGGACTACACCACTGAGTGTTCCAGTTTCTCTACATTCCTACCAACATTTACAATGGTCTTTCTTTTTGATCATGGCCATCCTGATATCCTAATGGGTGTGAAGTGGTATCTCATTCTATTTTTAATTTGCTGTTCTTGCTGCTTGTCTTTGTAGTATTCATTGTGATAAAATGGGAAGTATGCTTTAACAAAGCATTTCTGCTGTATACCAAAATAAGGTGATTGTCTTAAAAAAAATTTTTTTTTTATTGTGCGGTTGTAGGAGTTGCAAGGTGAATTATATGCTATTTTCATAAAAGATTGTTTTTTCTTGAACAACTGACAAACTATGGTTATTGAGAGATTCATGTATTTAAGAGCAAATATTTTCTCAAAAAAAAAAAGAATTAAGTGAGCTGGTTAATTAAAGGAAAAAAGCCTGATGGTATTTGCTACCAGTGATAAAATTTGGGTTTTCCAGTGAAAAGTAGAATTTTGTAAAACTCGGAACTACTACTGTGAATTTGATAGCTTTACTAATAAAATACTTTTCTGATGAGATGGAGAGTGATATTAATAAATGGGATTTTTTGGGGGTTACTGTATTATAAAGAAATGTGCCAACATTTGGAGGATCTATATGATAACTCAGTGAACCAGTAGTTGTCAGATATCAATTCATGTTACAAAATCATGCAGGGGTAAAAAGATCCATTCAGAGTTTGAGATAGACCAATCACAAGTGTGTAGAAAGTTTGTCAATATGGTTTCAGGTTTTACAGTACAACTGACCTATAAGAAACTGCCACTTGTCAAGTTTGGTATATAGTATCAAAGAATGCTGAAAGGCAATCAAATTACTCCTTTTCCAGCCACGTATCTTTGTAAGACTGGATATTCATTCTGTGCTTCACTCCAGACCACATGCTGCCAACAGAATGCAGAGGCAAAATATGAGACTCTAGTTGTTTTCTTTTAACCTAGGCATTTTTTAAGAGTTTTGCAAAAATGTAAAACATGGTCTTCTCATTAAGCTTTTGTTTATATTTTTGGACGATAGTAGTTTTTCATAAAATGTTTAATTTGTGTTAACATGTAATGGATTTATTATTCTTAAAACAGAAAATCATAGTTTCTCATAATTTTTTTTTTTTTTTTTTTT